AATCCCATGGGAATGGGGTCTGAATCCTATGGGAATGGGGTCTCCACCCCACCTGATATCCCGTAGGAATTGAGTCTCCATCCCCGGGAATGGGCTCTGAATCCCGTGGGATCGGCACCTCATCCCACGGCATCGGGACCTCATCCCGTCCCACCCCCATGGGATTAACCCCCCCTTCCCTCCCTGCCAGGAACCCCGAGCGACCCGGAGATCGTGGAGCTCGACGGCCCCCCCCTGCCCCCGGCCATGCCCGACCCCGACGAGGATTCCCGGGAAACCCTGCGCTGGACGGTGGTGCAGCAGATCGAGCCCGGCTCCCCCTCCGCCCCCGGCGCCAAATCCGGCGTCTGCTCCTCGTCCTCCTCCTCCTCCTCCTCCTCGGCCTTCTCCAACCTGCGCAGCATCATCGTCCTGCAGAAGAGCTACGAGTGCCGCGAGTGCGGGAAGAGCTTCAGCTGCAGCTCCCACTTCCACAAGCACCGCCGGACGCACACGGGGGAGCGGCCGTTCCGCTGCCGCCACTGCGGCAAGACCTTCAACGTCAGCTCCAACCTCTACCGGCACCAGCGCGCCCACGGCGCCGGCCCGGCGACGCCGACGCCGACGGCGGCTCCGAGGGCGGCTCCGAGGGCCCGCGGCCTCCCCTACGAGTGCCAGGAGTGCGGGAAGAGCTTCAACGTCAGCTCCAACCTCTCCCGGCACCGGCGCGCCCACGCCGCCGGCTCGGCCCCGGCGACGCCGACGCCGACGCCGAGGGCTCGCGGCCTCCCCTACGAGTGCCAGGAGTGCGGGAAGAGCTTCCGGCGCAACAAGGAGCTGGTGACGCACCAGCGGCTGCACACGGGGCGGCTGCCCTTCCAGTGCGGCCACTGCGGGAAGGGCTTCTCCTGGAGCTCCCACTGGGAGCGGCACCAGCGCGTGCACACCGGCGAGAAGCCCTACCAGTGCCCCGAGTGCGGCAAGAGCTTCAGCCGCAGCTCCCACCTCTACCGGCACCAGCGCGGCCACGCCGGCGGCCGCTCCTACATCTGCACCTACTGCGGGCGCAGCTTCGGCAGCACCCTGCACTTCGAGCGGCACCAGCGCACCCACACGGGCCAGCGGCCCTACAAGTGCACCCTGTGCCGCAAGAGCTTCGGCGACGCGCCCGCGCTGGTCAAGCACCAGCGCCTGCACCTGGACGGGCCCTTCCGCTGCGAGGAGTGCGGCAAAGCCTTCGGCGCCCGCGCCCAGTACGCGCGGCACCGGCGCAACCTCCACGGCGCCGGCGGCACCGGTGCTGGGGCTGGTGGCGCGGGCGCGGCGGAGAAGCCGTACCGGTGCGGGGACTGCGGGAAGAGCTTCTCGTGGAGCTCCCACTGGGAGAGGCACCAGCGGATCCACACCGGGGAGAGGCCGTACCAGTGCGGGGACTGCGGGAAGCGCTTCGGCCGCACGTCCCACCTGTACCGGCACCAGCGGACCCACGCCGGCGGCCAGCCCCACGTGTGCGCCGAGTGCGGCAAGAGCTTCAACAGCACCCTCCACTTCCACAAGCACCAGCGCGCCCACGCCGGGCCCCGGCACGGCTGCGCCGACTGCGGGAAGGCCTTCGCCGACGGCTCGGCGCTGGCCAAGCACCGGCGGGTCCACGGGGGAGGAGGAGTGGGGGGGGTCGGGGCGGAGAAGCCCTTCCCGTGCCCGCGGTGCGGGAGGAGGTTCGGAGGCACCTCCCACCTGCGGCGGCACCTGCGCAGCCACGGCGAGGAGGAGGAGGCCGAGCCGGTGGGCTGAGCGGCGCCGCCGGCGAGTCGGGCGGCGTTCCGGCGTTCCGGAGGGGCCGCCGGGTGAGCCCAGCTCATTGGGTTGGCCAACCTTGACGTTGACTTGGGTAGAGCCCCCATTCCGGTGTTCCGGAGGTGCCGCCGGATAAACTCAGCTCGTTGGGTTGGCCAACCTTGACGCTGACTTGGGTAGAGGCCCAATTCCCGATGGGAATCCCGGTGGGATCGGGCTGTTCCGGCGGCGCCGAGGGCGTAGTTTTCGTAGGGTAGAGTAGGAAGGGTGTAGAGTAGAGGGTGGAAGGAGGAGCCGAGTGGGAATTCGGGAGTTTTCCAAGGGGGTGTTTTCCCTCTGGGTCAAAAAGCAAAAGATGGAATCCTGCCAAGGGAAAACCCAGCTGGGCTCCTGCTCCGGGCGGATTCCGGGAGAAACCACGTCCAAGGTCGGAGCTCTTGGAGGTGCCACCAACTCGTTGCCAAGCTCGGAGAGACCCCAAAATGTGGGATGGAGTCGCCCCTGGACCGTCCCAGATTCCGCATCCAGCCTCGGCCGACGCCACTCAGAGCGTGATGATGTCATCGAGGATTTGGGGCAAAAAACCCACCAGTTTGGGGGAAAAAAAATCAATTTGAGGCAAAATCCCTTGATTTGGGATAAGAACCCCAATTTTGGGAAAAATCCCCTGGTTTGGGGGTAAAATTCCCTGATTTGGTGGGTTTCAGTTGAGGAAGAAGCCAGATTGTCCCAACTCCGTCGTGTCCCAAAAATTTGGGAAGTTTATTTATTGTATTTATTCAGCTGTTGGTTGGGAGAATCCCAAGGGTTGGGACAATTCCAAGGGTTGGGATGATTCCAAGGGTTGGGACAATTCCAAAGGTTTGGATGATTCCAAGGGTTGGGACAATCCCAAAGGTTGGGATGATTCCAAGGGTTGGGATAAGGGCGGATTTGTCCCAACCCGGCGGCTCCTCCTGGGTTGATCCGTGGGGCTGGAACGGCTCCTCCAGGAGCATCCAAAGGGAATTCCCAGCTGGAAAAACGGGAATCCTCGGGATGAACCTCGGGAGGGGGAGCAGGACGTGAATCCGGGGGGTTTTCCCGGTGGATTTGGGGGTCGGATCCGTCTCTTCCCAAGGGAAGCAGGAGCTGTGTTTGTTTTGTGAATAAAAATAGATTTAGTGGGAAAAGCCGGAGCGTCCTCGGAGCTTTTCCTGAGAAACCAGGGGGGGTGTCACCAGGGGCTGGGGGGTGGCCAAGAACGAGCCCCACATTCCTGGAAAACCTCGGGGAACTTCTCGGGCAATTCCTTGGGCATCTCTTGGGAATTTCTCGGGAATTCCTTGGGAATTCCTGGGCTCCCCATTCCCTCAGAAGGTCCCTGGGGAGCTGAGGCATCGGGGGGGGGGGGGGGGTTGGGGGGGGGGGGGGGGGGGGGGGGGGGGGGGGGGGGGGGGGGGGGGGGGAGGAGGGGGGGGGGGGGGGGGGGGGG